ATATATATATATATATATATATATATATATATATATATATATATATATATATATATATATACTAGGTTATAGCCCGTGGAAACCACGGGTGACTTTTTAGATAAAATTTTATATTAGAAGTTTATAATTGTTAATCAGTCATTTTAAATAAAAACTTAAATAGAATAGTTATGTTTTTTTTATGTAACACTATAATCATTGATTTAAATAAATATGTAACATTATTTTTGAAGCTATATTTTATTTGTGAAGTAATGACAAAAATAATATTGTATGATTAAATATTAGATTATTTATATTATAATTATAAAAAATAAAACAACAACGACAAGTGAAGTAAATTAAAATACATATATGGAAAACAGGAAAAATAAGTTGTTGAAACAAAAATATATGAAAAATATAACAAATTACAAATCAAAATTAACAATAAAGTGTTTTTAAAAACCAAAATACGTTATAATAAACAATATTGTATAAACTACTTATAAATTTCTAAAAACTTCTTTATACACAACATTATAAGTTTTATTTGTAATTCTATCATCCTTATCTAAAATTAATAATTTTAATATTTCTCTACTTTTAACTCTAGATAAGGCAACATACAGTTGGCCATGTGTAAAAATCGGATCTTTGAGAAACAAACCAACCTTAGATAAGGACTGTCCTTGGCTCTTGTTAATTGTCATTGCAAAACAAACGGATAATGGAAATTGTTTTCTTTGAAATTTGAATGAGATTTTTTTTTCAGATGGCGTTAACGACATTCTTGGAATAAATGTCTGATTTCCAGTATTACTTCCAGATATGATAACTGCCTCAATAACACGTTTGCCCAAAGATATCACCTGTAGTCTAGTGTCATTACATAAGCCATTTTTCTGATCAATGTTTCTCAGCAACATAACTGGAACCCTGACTTTCAAGACTAACTTATGATTAGGTAGACCTGAGACTTTAAGACCATTTAAAAGATTAAGTGAGTATAAATTGGCATCAAACTGATCATGAATAAACTATGATTGGCATAGTTTATCTGAACTTAAATATTCGACTTTATCTCCTGGAAAAAATGATAGCAACCGGTCATTTATTTTTCCAACAACTTCATTTTTTGGAGCAAGTATTGCTCTTTCTTGAAATATCCCGGATTGTTAGAATCTTCAAGAATTGATGGATACACAAAGTCAACTAATGAACCTATAGGATCACACGGATCTTTAATGAGAAGATCGTGCGGAATATCAATAATCGCTTCTCCATCATTAGGACCACCAACTTTGCCTTCTCCTATATCCAAGAGCCATTTTGCAAAATCCATTGTTTGCTGAATAGCAGATGTATCGCTTCCGACAGTTAACCTCATGTCTTTGGTTAATTTATGGACTTTGCATTGTTGCCATAAATATGAAGAACTTAATGAGGCATTAACAGTGTCTTGTCTGCTACCACCTGGGATAACAGGCAGAATTTGTCTAAAATCTCCTCCAACACAATCCCTTTCCCTCCAAATGGCAATTTTGAGGATCTAGGATTATGACACTTTAATACATTTTTAAAAGTTCGATCTAGAGCTTTAAAGGCATGCTTGTGAATCATGGGTGCTTCATCCCATATGATCAATGAGGTTTTTTGTAATAAACTGGCGAGTACTTAATTGTTTTCTCAATTTTGGAATTAATTTGGTCGATTTTACCCTTTGAAGATGAAGCCACTATTCATTATCATGGATATGTAGTTTCTCAATTTATGTGTTGACTTTCTATTTAAAGAATTGACTTGGAGTGGAAATAGAATCTGTATATGTAGTTTTACCTTTGATTTGGTCAACTTTTCCTCTCATGGTGTAAACAATATTAGCATAATGGTAGAAAATCAAAGTTTCCTTTGTTTATAATCGATTTAAACTTAAAATATAACAGATTACAAAAGATTTTGAAAATCCCTGAAATGTTGGGATGATAAAAGTTGAAAGCAGGAAATTATGGAATGCAATCAAAATAAAATCCGTTTATTTTTTTGAAATTTATTATGGAATGCTTAGTGAAATCGTTTGACCACCGAAAATACTGGAAGATAGGTATTAAATGCTATTAAACATTTAGCTATTTACTTATTTAAACGAATATGTATTAATATCACATAATAACAATTCCGGATTTTTTGTGAATGTGTGAAATGTTTATATGTTTCTGATGTCAATTATATAATTTATGTGGGTTGCATATGTTTTTTAAAGATGTACTTTTATGTTATCAAACTATAGCAATCTACTTTAATATTTTGACAAATAAAAACGTCTTTTTTCAACATAAACACCTATGTACTGGATTGTTTTTTTCAATTTTGGCATTAATTTGATCGATTTTACCCTTGAGTACTCTCAATTCACCAATCATTCCAATTTCTCTTTATGTTTCTGTTGAGATGATCAAGTTTATTCAGTCAACTAAATTCATAAACAATGAACCTAATGTTGAGATGTGTAGTGTAACTAATTTACTT